TTAAGTAGTAGTGAAAAAATGAACTTAGCAGTTTAATTACTTGCAGTGAAAATGAAAGTGAAAAAGGAAGTGACAATGTTACATTAACTAATATATAGATTTAGCCAAGGCTAAAAGAAAAGCCTCCATTTCTATACTTAAGATAAAAGCAATCAAAATTAAACTAATAATATGAACTAAGCCCCCAAAATAGAAGGAGCCCTCGGCATCACAAAGTTCACCTTTAGAGGGAGGAGCTAAATGATTAAGAAAAAATATCGCGCAAACAAAGTCAAACCTAAATTGAAGGAAAAAAAAAGTGAAATTGAAGGTCTCTTCTGTAGCAGCAATTTCTACGGTCAGTATTTTTGTCTTCAAGGGAAGGCCTAAAAGGAAAAGTAGGCTTTGTGTTCCTTTAAGCCCATTATATATATATTTTTTAAACGGGCCCGGACGAGCAGTTATGTGTAGCCTTTACATTTATACAGCCTCACAATATTGAGGAGAGACATAGGGAAGCAAACGATAACCATTTTCGCTACCAATAACCGATAATCAACCAAAAGGGACTAACAACACAGGCTCGAAAAGCCGACGAGTCTGTCGTTAGAATAGAGGAGAACTGCTTCATATTCTAGATAAACTCACTTTTTCAGCGAGAATATAAAGCCGTAAACAAACAACTGAAAACAAACTTCATTCAAGCGGTTCCAGCTGTGATTCAGGGCACGAGTTAAGGAAAAAGAGCAGCACACTGCAAAATTCTTGAATGGCAAGTGATGAATAAGAAAATGAGTTGAAATTCAATGGAACATGTACAAAAACAAGACTTTAGTTCTAATTATTCAAGAATGGGGAGTAGCCGTGTGAAGTGTTTCTAAAAATCTCACGATCTGTAGACTCACGATCGTGTTTTGAGCTAATGTTATGAATGAGCAATGACAGATAAATAACTTAATAACTTTAAACTTTTTATTAAAAAACCCATAAGTTAATCCTAAAAAGTAATTCGCGTAACACTAACTGGATCGTGGATCCGTTCACGCAAGTTAAATTGGCTGAGCACATGGCAAAAAATCAATTCCAAATGCACATTTTGTGGTTTTCTTTCACGCCGTTGTAAAAATGTAGAAAAGGTTCATGAATCCTTTATAAATACAAAAATTTCCTTTTAAAAACGGACTTTCCTTGACCATAGAGTATACAGAATGTACCTCAAGTTTCTTCAGAAACCTTGTTGCCTCGATTTGTTCAAAACAAGCAAAGCGCTCTGATCCTCAGTGAAGAAAACAAGGTTGAATTCCTCTCGAAAGACAATTTCATAGCAAAAAGCTCTCATTTTTCCACAAAAAGGAAGCTGAGCATTCTTTCGAACTTGCTCTTTCCATTTGTGTCCTTTATCGACGTATTTTCAATCTTGAAATACTTTAGTATTGAAAAGAGGGGCGGGGGGGGGCTGAAAACATGCACATGATGAACCATCATCATGATAACGAAAATCCCCGGGGGAGTACTCCCTTACATTTGCCTTATAGGTATTTATCTAAAATAAGGTCTAGGGTCAGGAGCCAGACAACACACCCCGACCACAAAATGTCAGGAATGCCCCCCCCCCTCCGATTAGTAAGTTAATAATAGATAGCGTTCATTTTTGACACAAAAATCCCGGGGGTACTCCCCTACACTTGCCTTATAGGTATTGGTCTCAAATACGATCTATGGTCAGGATTTGGAGACGGCACACGGCCCACCACGAATTTCCAGGAATACCCCCGAAGTGCAAATTGAAAGTATTTTATAAACTGGGCCAGCCTTCGGCCAACTCAGTTACCGATCTAGAAACAAAAAAGATAAAAAAATAAGAACAAGCGCGATAAACATATTTAGTGTGTTATGCGGCCGAAGCAGTCACTATTCAGGGTAAGTACTGAATTAATCTTGTACCCAGATCTCCCACTGCTAAGGGAAAGAGAGATCTCACTTTTTACCGTAAGACAGAGTGAGGTCTGGGTACGAGATAAGTGTTGGATACCATCTGAAAACATACCACTATTTTCCATTTAACTCAACTGGTGCCCGAACTCTACGGAACATTTCACATATTCTAACCATCTAGTCTAAAATTCAGCGATGACTTCATCACACGAGCAAAACAAAGTTAAAACTTTAATGTACTTCGTTGTCTGGTCTTCTGCTTTTACAGCTACTACTTTACACAACAAACTCATTTGTTTAATTTCTAGAAATTCAATTAAGTTAATTCCATTAAGAGTTAAATCAAAAAGTATGCCAACCGTGAACTGTGCCCACTAAGAGCCTGTTGACATTGAGGTAGGGGAGCCTTGGTAAGAAAGGTAACCCACCTGCCCATATAAGTCAATCTCTAATTTTTATTTCATAACGTTAACATGAGCGTGTCTAGCTCACCGGTTAACCCTCTCAGCCGGGGTCAAAGTTTGCCATGATAACGATTCAAGGTGAGGTAACCCGCCTACCCAGGGTCGAATGTGTGTTACATCAAATTCGCATCTTATATGAATCACAACTATATGGCACCATTGAAAGTGACAACATAAAGCCACAGTACTGAATGATTGCAGAACGAGCGGCAAATTAGAGAAGACGAGCATTTACCACCCAAAAATGTCGCATAGAGGGCATGCTTAATTTAACCCAATTTATCTCTTTATCATTTCTCTCTCCTTTTTTTTGATTTCTTCTATGACAACATTACTGCAAATAGATGTACGAGCTTGTACGGGCTTAGCGAACATCGATTAAATAATCCTGAAAAAGAGTACTCCGAGCTGGTGGAGTTGGAAAATTTCATGTAAAGGCAGGTTACCTCACCTATGTAGGGTCCCCCACCTTCACGTAGTGACAGGCGCTAAGTCAACCCTGTGTAGATGTTTAACCTAATTAATTCTACTGTTAATGAAACGTTTTTGGCATTCATGCTTCTTTTACGTTCTTACAATTCGGCTTAATTCTCTTTGAAAAACAAAGCTATGAGCTTTGACATCGCGGAAAAAAAAATTATTTAGCCCAGTTTTCAAATGATTTATACTCATTGCTAATCTGTGGCAACTATACTCTCTCTTATATGAGAACATCATTTTACGTTATTGGTTTTATATTTTTAAATTGTCTCAAACTCTATCCACACAAAATTTAGGCCTTTTCACCGACCGGAGTTGGTTGAGCGGAACCCATTTCTGGTCCCCGTTTTTAAACCTGACGTGTACCAGGGATAAACGCTCATTGATACCAGCCACATTACCAGCGCGATACCATTCTTGCATACTAGGTTTGTGAACAGCAATAACTGATGAACTGACAGAGATTTCCTTCATTTCTGGGATTTTATCTATAACGAGCACTGGTTCAGTCCGCGTGTAAGTGCGCCACTGAGCATTGTTTATTTGTAAGTGGAAATTGATGTGACTGGCTGTAATTCTTGTGATAAAAGCTCTGTAGTAGTTGAGTGTGTTATCTCTTCGCGACCATAATCCCCAAAACACGGAACCAGGTAGAATGCATTCTGAAAAAAAGTAAATAGATGAATAAAGCAACTATAATTGCTATTTGAAAAATTAAATAAGGATTTAAAAGAGAGAGAGAGAGAGAGAGAGAGAGAGAGAGAGAGAGAGAGAGAGAGAGAGAGAAAACAATAGCAAATCGATCACTTATTAATCCTATTAATTGAGATAGATGGATCAACAGTATCCAAAGCAATTCCAGGAGTAAATTCTACTAAAGCAGTGTCACTTGCGGTTTTATTTTTCTTTATTATTTATTATTTCTTTTTCTTTTTGTTTTTCATTTATATTTTATCGCAAGACCCTATTTGCCCGCATGAACTTTTATAAACTGGAGAGACAGCAATCTCCTGCCCAGGGTCTCTCTTCTTCCAGTCACCTTGAAAAAAGAGTGAAGCTGGGAGCTGATGGATAGAGCGAGAGAGATTGTTAAGTTACTGGTATCAGAGATACAACTTGTAAAAGTTAACAAATGTTAAACGTGTAGGGTGCAACCATCGAGTTACGGATGCACGCGGGAGGTTGCTAAGCACGAAAGAAGCGTAAGAGTTGCCGAGATCAACGCTAGCTTCTTGAGTACTTAGCAAACCTCCCAAGTATATCCATAATTCGATGGTTGCACAAGTGAAACGTTTACCATTTCTTTACAAAAGAGAAAACACTTTCTTTTGCTTTCGGTTGAGTCAGTCATGGGCATTGTAAACGAGTTGATGTATGCCGTCATCGACCCGCGGGTAAACAAATCATGCCTTACAAATTTTGCCTTATAGTTTTTCTTTTTTTTTTTTTTTCGCTAAATCAACCGTCCTCCGTCTTAACGTATATTGCAAAACTAAGGGGTACATGCTTCAAGGGAAAACTATAGCTGCAACTATAAACACTAACTCAAGAACTATGCGACGTAAAATGATAATTGTGTAACAATTATGCAGTAAAAGTAAAGTGAAAATAAGACAAATCCTACAAAAAATCCTTTACAATAACAGGTGACACAATTTTTTTGGGGGGGAAAATTAAGTAGCTTCTATTGAAATTGATCCGAGGAAATCGCGGTATTTGCTTGAATTTAGCGTCAACTTGACTAAGAAGTACATAGGACAATGCTAATAGATGCATTTCTATTTCAAAACAGAATTTTCTCTACTATAAAAACTCCCAAAATGTACCTTAAATTTCGGGCTTAAATCCTTAAGACACCTCGCTCATTCGGTTGTTCTCCTGAGCTCTCCGCCGCAAAGAAGACAACCATTACGATGAACTTCTCCAAGACAAATTTATCGCTTGATCTTTTCACTTTCCTTCAAAACGACAACTGAGTATTTCTTCAGCATTCTCTTTTCATTTTGTATACGTCATCGTGCATATAAAACGGTACAGGAGAGGAAAATAGCTGAATTTGCCTCAATAGATCATTTTACAGTTATGGACTTAGAACCCTAGCCTTCGTGTGAATGTGATGAATGGCTAACTGACCAATAAAAGCGCGCGCTTTAATTTTGTTATGTAATAAGCTTTATTTGACAACTGTTGATTGAGAACCAGGTTGAGTATGATGTGAAGAATTATAAAGATAATCGAGAAGAATGTTATCGGCCAAGGTTGATAACAGCCTTCGAAATCTGCATAATTCTTCACATTATACAAAAGCCAAATTAATTAATTGCTTTTTTGTTTATTTAAATAAAGCCTATTTCTCCTCAGTATTTAGCATATTAGATGTTTCTAATTAAATTTCTTGCAGATACTTTCAAAAGGAAATAACATCCACCTAGCAAAATAACTTTTGCGTATTGTTGCATTTTTTTCTTTTTGTTTGAGCCAGAAATTACGCTATCTCGTCTTCTGATAGCCGTTTCTATAGTTCACTTGGTAAGAAACAGTTAGGCTGCCGCGCCTAGGAACAAAATTGATCGATGGAATATTTGCCTCAAAATGAGGTTGTTTGGGTATTGTTTGTATCTTCCACATTTGGTCAGTGCCCGCTGGTTATGAAGAATAAGCCCATGTTTTGAGCCAATCAGAAACGTCGATATATTTTGAGTAAATAATTAAAGTGGCTGCGTATTATACTACTCTGGGGGCTTAATTCGTAGAAGGGGAACACAACCGTTCAGCCATAACTTGAGTGATTCTTCTCAGTACATTTATCGTCATTTAAGGACTTGATACAAAAAAGTCTAAAATAGGGTTGAGAGAGAAAGCAGTGGTTGCATACCGGCCGGATCTGCACTCTCATTCAGTTCTCAATTTGGTTATTAATCTATACTGCCGTGTTCCCTATTGCGTAATGTAAGAAGTGTGAACAGAACAAAGCTAAAGCTACAAAGATAATATTTTACCAGGGTTAGGATTACATCCATATATTTCCATTCTTAAGCAGAAAGGTTGGAATTGCAAACCAGGGTAAATACGCAATTTTCTGGTCACAAAAGGCTCCTTCAACTGATATTTCATGACAGAAGAGGCATCTCTATTTCCCTGTATAGGCTGAGGAAAGAGGTGACAACATCCATATTATAAGCGTGTAAGCATAGCTAGGTAATAATACCGAAGGGGTTGATTTGTTGCCCCCGAGCAACTAGTGATAACACTGTCAAAGAAGGGTTGCGAAGATGGTCTCCCAGCGATGTAAATTAATGAATAGAACATGGACTTTTCCCTAGAGACAAACCGTAAAGATGGAATAAATGACAAAGGAAAATAATACTTACATGTATTAAACACATGAGAGTAATTTTACCTAACCCGTGAAATAGGTAGTAGAATACTACGCACTTTCAAGATGCACTAATTGCATTTTCTATATTCTTCTTTACCCCGCCGTTACTACTTTGGACTGTCTAGTAGTTAGTATCTGGTTCACTGGTCAAGTAAAATCACTCTAGCAATTTACAATACAAAATCCAATTTTAAACTACTCTATTGTGATTATAGCTACCTTTAAAAGACAATGTCTAAATACCTGAAAACCTGAAAAGGAGACCTTGATCAAAAAACATGCATAGTGTCGCAATCATAAGTGACTTGTAAAACGTACAACCAACAATAAATAAGTAAACGAAGAAAGAGAAAAACAACACTAATATAATGATAAAGAAAGAAATATATATGTGGCTTACAATGTAATCTGAGATTTCTTACCTTTTCTAACCCAGATTCACTGTACATGACACGTGTTGCTCCAGCATAAAATGCGACTTTGTACTGTTTCACCCACTTGTCCCCTGTATCCGTTCTACCTCCTTGGGTCGCTATTGACGTCACCTTGAAAGTTCTGCCCAAGTCAATTTGTAAGTACGTCTGTCCTACAGCGCACCAGGACAAACGTCCATTGAGACGAGCATATCTGGGCGACCGACGAAAATAATGGCGGGCAGGTGAATTGATTCTAGAATCCGGAATTTTATAATTTTCCATACCAAGTGCTCTTCCACATTCTAAAACAAATCATAACAAAACATTTTAAGAACAGTTAACTACGCATTTAAAACATGAAATATGTATTAATGGTGTTTAAAACAGCGCTAATTTCTATTTTTCTTTTCTCTCTCTCTTTTTATAATTAACAAAGTCCAAAAAAATCTTACAGTAGGTGTACCACTATTACTAAATAATGATCCTGGTTTTCGCTCCACAGCAGAAAATATAATAATTGTAGGTGAAAATATACAATGATCTTTATAACTGTGATTGACCAAAACGCTGTAATTCCACTGTATAAGGCCTGTTTGCAAGGACGATTTTCCTTGCCACTTGATCTTCGCTTCAAAGAGCTAATTAAGCAGATATAGCTGCTGCTTTCCCCTTCGTCTGTTCTTGTATCTCGTTTAAGTTCAATAATAATAATAATAATGATAATAATAATAATAATAATAATAATCACTTATTTCTCATTAGGCGCAAATTAACATCTAAATATGGTCAAATGCGTCTTAGAACTATGACTACCTGTAATAATTACAATAAAGTATACTTAAAAATACCTAAAATTTATAATCTAAAATTCATCAATCTAACTATAACAGCTGGAAGAACAGGGCAACGTATTTTTTTTTACACTTTGTCTGTTCTCTATAAGGGGTATTATTTTTTGAGCTATCCCCTCGAAAACTTATCTCATTCTTTAGTCTCGTGCAGTCAGTCGCAGCATTGTTGGCCAGGCTGTTGTGTCCGTTTGCAAATAACTTAAAGTTTGACCGGTTTCAAATCTTGCACAGCAACTCTCAACAACAAGCAACAAGATGCAACAGGGAGTGCAAACAGACGCAACATGGATGATCTAACAATGTTGGGAGTTGTTGCCAGTTGGCCTACAATAGAGTGCGTCCCCTTGCACGTAGCATATGTCTAACAAGTTCTGTCATTGTTAAAAGTTACATCCATTTGAACGGCATTTGTCGTAACAAAACTCTCTACGTCTTGTTACATATTTGAAATCGTCGGCTCCCCAATTGGTAGGTAGTTGTGTTTTTAAAACTTTAGGAAATACCTATTGTCACCAATTACCTAAACAATTTTTGTTTTTTTTTGTTCCCCGCCAAATTACGTTGACTTTCTTCTCAGCATTACGTAATTCTTTTGCATCTACCAAAACGGCTTCTGTGTGTGCCGAAATCTCTGTCTTTATAAGAACCTGCCTAAACATCTTCAACATAAATTTAATTAATAAGCTTTTTATTCTATGGAACGACTGAAGCCAAAAGAAGAAGTAAAGTTCAGCTTGAAAGTGGCAAATTAAGCTTATGTTTAAACTTCAATATTCGATTCCCTTTTATTTTCAAACTTCTTATTATCCTGTTTTACTCGTGTGTATATCTGTAAATGGATTAGTATTATAATCTGTATAATAAGTCTGTATTCAACTTCTAATCGAGTGAAATGTGCATACGTCGATCGTTTTTCTACTTGTGGCTGAATGGTTTCATAAACGATGTAAGCTAAGTGTATAAATAAACTTATACCTTTTAAATCGCCTTTGTCCATTCCGATTTAAATTCCTTACAGTGCAAGGACTCTATGCAGAACTTCCGCCCTGTCGTGATAGATATTTTTTCCACCGAACGTACTTGTTCGGTTTAATTCAAATACGCAAGATTTTTCATCCGCTCCCTTAGAAAATATCAAGTAAAAAGTAGTTGTGTTACTTAATGGCATTTTTTCGATAACTACCACATTTTAATGAAAGGCTTGCTTAAAGAAGTTATAACGATCACTGAAAATGGACATTAAAATGGCCTCAGGGTTTTACCATGTTTTGAGGATTTTGAGACCATCTTCGCATTGTTATTGAACTCGCTCACCAGCCCTGTCCTTCGGACAATTTCTGCTTTCGCTCGTTTTTCTCGGTGACGTAGAGCTGATCTTCCTTTTGAATTACGTAACAATGATTTTTTACATTAGACCTTTAAGATTTTCCTCATTTTCGGGTAACTCAGCTGTAGTTTTGTCATGTTTGTTTGTGTTCTTGCCAAGAAGTGAACGGCATTAGCCTCGGTTTCGTGCGAAAACAAGCACTTGCCCTATGCTAGCCTGCGTAGCAAGCGTTTCTGCGCGAGTTCGTCGAGAAAGTTGGGAAGAGAGCAAAAAAACGAATGACGGGGGAGGGGGAGGGGAAAGAAGGAACCGCTTGCCCGCAAACCCCACGATTTTGAAAAACTGCGTTCGCCCACGAACGCAGCTTCTGATTGGTGCCGTGCTAGTTCTGTTGATTGCTTAGCACTCGAAACATCAATCAAACCAGGTATGCTTTGTTTACGAGCGTCACAGATCTGGTCTCATCTGATTTGCGGTCGCAGATTTCAAATGCTTTGGAGTCAATTCTACTAAAGCAGTATCACTTGCGGTTTTATTTTTATTTATTATTTGTTTTTGTTTTTCATTTATATTTTTATCGCAAGACCCTATTTGCCCGCATGAACTTTTATAAACTGGAGAGACAGCAATCTTCTGCCCAGGGTCTCTTCTTCCAGTCACCTTGAAGAAAGAGTGAATCTGGGAACTGATGGATAGAGCGAGAGAGATTGTTAAGTTACTGGTATCAGAGATGCAACTTGTAAAAGTTAACAAATGTTGAACGTGTAGGGTGCAACCATCGAGTTATGGATGCAGGCGGGAGGTTGATAAGCACGAAAGAAGCGTAAGAGTTGCCGAGAGCAAAGCTAGCTCCTTGAGTACTTAGCAAACCTCCCAAGTATATCCATAATTCGATGGTTACACAGGTGCAACGTTTACCATTTCTTTACAAAAGAGAAAACACTTTCTTTTGCTTTCGGTTGAGTCAGTCATGGGCATTGTAAACGAGTTGATGTATGCCGTCATCGACCCGCGGGTAAACAAATCATGCCTTACAAATTTTGCCTTATACTTTTTCTTTTTTTTTTTTTTTTCGCTAAATCAACCGTCCTCCGTCTTAACGTGTATTGCAAAACTAAGGGGTACATGCTTCAAGGGAAAACTATAGCTGCAACTATAAACACTAACTCAAGAACTATGCGACGTAAAATGATAATTGTGTAACAATTATGCAGTAAAAGTAAAGTGAAAATAAGACAAATCCTACAAAAAATCCTTTACAATAACAGGTGACACAATTTTTTTTTTTGGGAAAATTAAGTAGCTTCTATGGAAATTGATCCGAGGAAATCGCGGTATTTGCTTGAATTTAGCGTCAACTTGACTAAGAAGTACATAGCACAATGCTAATAGATGCATTTCCATTTCAAAACAGAATTTTCTCTACTATAAAAACTCCCAAAATGTACCTTAAATTTCGGGCTTAAATCCTTAAGACACCTCGCTCATTCGGTTGTTCTCCTGAGCTCTCCGCCGCAAAGAAGACAACCATTACGATGAACTTCTCCAAGGCAAATTTATCGCTTGATCTTTTCACTTTCCTTCAAAACGACAACTGAGTATTTCTTCAACATTCTCTTTTTATTTTGTATACGTCATCGTGCATATAAAACGGTACAGGAGAGGAAAATAGCTGAATTTGCCTCAATAGATCATTTTACAGTTATGGACTTAGAACCCTAGCCTTCGTGTGAATGTGATGAATGGCTAACTGACCAATAAAAGCGCGCGCTTTAATTTTGTTATGTAATAAGCTTTATTTGACAACTGTTGATTGAGAACCAGGTTGAGTATGATGTGAAGAATTATAAAGATAATCGAGAAGAATGTTATCGGCCAAGGTTGATAACAGCCTTCGAAATCTGCATAATTCTTCACATTATACAAAAGCCAAATTAATTAATTGCTTTTTTGTTTATTTAAATAAAGCCTATTTCTCCTCAGTATTTAGCATATTAGATGTTTCTAATTAAATTTCTTGCAGATACTTTCAAAAGGAAATAACATCCACCTAGCAAAATAACTTTTGCGTATTGTTGCATTTTTTTCTTTTTGTTTGAGCCAGAAATTACGCTATCTCGTCTTCTGATAGCCGTTTCTATAGTTCACTTGGAAAGAAACAGTTAGGCTGCCGCGCCTAGAAACGCCGATATATTTTGAGTAAATAATTAAAGTGGCTGCGTATTATACTACTTTGGGGGCTTAATTCGTAGAAGGGGAACACAACCGTTCAGCCATAACTTGAGTGATTCTTCTCAGTTCATTTATCGTCATTTAAGGACTTGATACAAAAAAGTCTAAAATAGGGTTGAGAGAGAAAGCAGTGGTTGCATACCGGCCGGATCTGCACTCTCATTCAGTTCTCAATTTGGTTATTAATCTATACTGCCGTGTTCCCTATTGCGTAATGTAAGAAGTGTGAACAGAACAAAGCTAAAGCTACAAAGATAATATTTTACCAGGGTTAGGATTACATCCATATATTTCCATTCTTAAGCAGAAAGGTTGGAATTGCAAACCAGGGTAAATACGCAATTTTCTGGTCACAAAAGGCTCCTTCAACTGATATTTCATGACAGAAGAGGCATCTCTATTTCCCTGTATAGGCTGAGGAAAGAGGTGACAACATCCATATTATAAGCGTGTAAGCATAGCTAGGTAATAATACCGAAGGGGTTGATTTGTTGCCCCCGAGCAACTAGTGATAACACTGTCAAAGAAGGGTTGCGAAGATGGTCTCCCAGCGATGTAAATTAATGAATAGAACATGGACTTTTCCCTAGAGACAAACCGTAAAGATGGAATAAATGACAAAGGAAAATAATACTTACATGTATTAAACACATGAGAGTAATTTTACCTAACCCGTGAAATAGGTAGTAGAATACTACGCACTTTCAAGATGCACTAATTGCATTTTCTATATTCTTCTTTACCCCGCCGTTACTACTTTGGACTGTCTAGTAGTTAGTATCTGGTTCACTGGTCAAGTAAAATCACTCTAGCAATTTACAATACAAAATCCAATTTTAAACTACTCTATTGTGATTATAGCTACCTTTAAA